CTGCAAGTTGTCATCATCCAGATACACAGAACATGTTTTTTCCTGGACATACGACGCGAGGTTGAGTTGAGATGTCGAAGGGAGTATTTTCCTGTCTGCTATGGAGTGTTGTTTTGGACTGTTTTTGCAAGTGGCTATTTATTCATTAGGGTGGGACAAAGTCCACTATATTAGGATATGTCATTATACTAAAGGATGCCATGGCATCTTGAGTATGAAATGGGCACTTATTTATATTTGTATAACCATTGCAAGAGAAAGTTGTCAATGTTCTCTCTCTTCAAGTAGCACTGATGTGCAAGTCAATGGGCTTTAGTAGTTTGCACATGGCTTTTTTCAGCTTCAAGGATTAAATTATATTAACAATTTACCTCCTTATATTCAAAAATCTGAATTATATCCATGACCCTTAAACTCTATATTAGTATTTACATAATGATGGAAGAATTTCTGTTTTGTTCCCAACCTTAGGTAGAGTTTTGAAAATATTGGGAAGTATATATTAAAAGCATATATGTTAAATCCTGAAAGGCAAATCAGCACATTCAGAACTCAAAATCACCTATCAAGAAAACCTCACATTCATTAGCCATTGTTGACTCTCAGGTACATTATGAGAACCATGAAAGGTTCAAAGAGCCAGTTTCACCAAAATTAAATACTCACAAATTTAAGGATGCCTATTTTTAATATCATATGTAATAATAAAATACAGAAATTATATAAATGACTAAATAGTACAGATAATGTATATCAAGCAAATGATTCAAATTTATAATATTGTAATATTTAAAAGAAATAACAATCTGGTTAATGTTTGAGAGAATAAAAAAAAAATTAATTACTTAAAGTTCTAAAGTTTTAAAAAGCTTCTATCAGGTGGCCACCCTGTTAGGGAAAAGGACTTTTCACCTAGCTTTCAAATGAAATTTTAAAATAGAGCTTATTTTAAAGTTACATACAGATGGGCTATTCACCAAGGACTGTAGTTCAAGGCTGAAGGGCAAAGATTCTGAAATGAACCCAAATTTGTATACACTATTGCCTGGTTCAATATAAACTCATTTCTAAATAAGGTAAAATATATATGCATAAAAGCATTTCTAAGAGGTATTACTCTAATATTCATATGGCTATTTTTTATTCCATATCTGAGCTATATCTGGTCTAAAATTAGCCTAGTCTAACATCAAACCTCTAGCTCAGGGGTCAGCAAGTTATGGCCCATGGTCTGAATCCAGACCATGGTACCATTCAATCCAGCCCACAGACATGGGGCTTCAGCAGCTAGAGGGACCCAGTTTGGGTTGGGGGAGGAGGGGGAACGGGGCACATGGTGGACAGGTGCAAAGACCCAGCTGCTGCTACTGCTACTTCCCACTGCAGCTGCTCAGGGAAAGTGCCTGCCACTGCTTTTCCCCACGGCGGCATGGGGAGAGTGTCTGCAGCCAGTGCTTTTCCCTGCAGCCTTGAGAAGCTTTGGCAACAGTTGCTTTCTCCTGCTGCCAGACACCAGCACTGGCTGCAGACACTTTCCCTGTGCAGCTGCTGGGAAAGGTGGCAGCAGTGGCTGGGTCCTGCCTCTTGGCACTGGATTTAAAGCACAAGCCTACCTCTGACCTGAATTGGGGCAATGCAGCCCACAGCCTAAAAAGGTTGCCAACCCCTGCTCTAGGTGTCCTCGAGCAACATTTAGCCTAGTTTTCCCCATTCCATCTTTCTTGAATTTTCTAAAATAGCTGACAATTTTTGACATCTTCTGGCTGGATCATTTCCTTTGACTTTTCTTCTCTTAACCTAGCTTTGGTCAAGCAAATGCTGTTAAGCAGCTGAGGCCTTACTATGGTCTACACCAGTGGGTCTCAACCTTTTTTTTTTTCTTAAGACTCAAGGCTCCTCTAGGAAAATGCCAGCTCTTAGTTTTCACTTGTTTTTGGACTGCAGGAAAAGAATAGATCAACTCTTCTGTTGCAGAGAACTCAGAAAGACCACAATGGATCATAATGGTTTTTACCACTCTGAATTTCTATTTGAAATCAATGGGTTTATCTTATGAAACATGCTTGTCCACCTAACAGTGCTAACACTGCATGGCACCCCGTGGCACTCTTGAAAGGATCTCAAGGCATCCCAGGGTGTCACGGCATCCTCGCTAAGAAATCACCAGTCTATACCATGCCCAAAGTCCACACAAGTGTGCAACCTAAAGTGAACATTCTTATAAATTCCTCTTGACTCTCAGATTTTACTGAAGATAGGTGTATTCTCTCTACATTCTAAAGAAACTGCTTTTCTATTGCACTCCCTTCCCTGACAATTTCAATTTTCTCAGTGATCTTTCTACCTAGATCCTTTATTTTGTTTTTTAATTCAGACGCTCACAATTTGCTGTGGTTAGTTCTTGAAGAGGATGGGATGCACAAAGACTCAAAGGGTGCGTCCCCATAAATGGGAACGTGCGTTTCCCAAGGGACAACTAGCAGCGGCACATATTTGTGCTAGGTGTCCCCAGGCATGCCCCTGCACATACACTTTGGTGGGGCCCCAGCAGCCTTACCTGGGGTCCTGGGGGTCCCCCAGGGCAGCAGCAGCAGTGATCTGGGCATGCAGAGCCTAGCCAGCAGCCAGAGCATGGCTAGCTAGGCTCCGGTTTCTGGTGGCACATGCTGCATCCGCGTGCAGCACCCCACTTTAGATTCCGGGATTTCCCAGTATCTCATTTTGCCGCTCCACTGCAAATATGCAGCACAGCGAACTGATTCACAAGTACCGTGTGCATTTCATGGTGTCTCAGAAGGCTCTGAGGTGGCACAAACTGCACGTTCCTGCTCACGGGGACATGGCCAAAGCTGCTAACAGGCATACTACTGAGATGCTTTGTACAGATAGTACCTCTGCTTATAGAATTACCTTAACTATTACTACTCAGGGATCTGCTAACACAGCCTCGAAAGTCCATATTCATAGCACAAGAGGAAACAGCTTGAGAACCCAAAAGTATGAATCAGATTTGATAGCAGTTCCATCCAGGATTATAAAATATTTCTTGCAACAATAACAAAATGTATATTAAAAAAAAGTCTGGGAACTAGTAAGATGCTTTAAATTTAAGTGTTCAGATCACTTTGCTTTTATACTCCAATCATTCTCCCATCTTCCCACCTGCATTTTGTCTATTTATTATCATCTCTGTATACAAGGGGAATTTAGTTTTCAGTGAAGTTCCCATGCATAGTAATGATACTATACAAATATGTATAATTTGGGGCAAAAGGTATCTGAGGCAACTACAGTCCAACTTGTAAATTCTTATTCATCCTGTGGCTTCTCTCAGGTTATATAGTAATTTAACTTAGTCCCATTACCAGGAACTATATGCAGAGTAAATGGTTACTCAGTATAAATAAGAGGGCAGTATCAAGTTGTGAATATAACTAATATGTAGCCTTCTTCATAGTTCCAAATGAAGAACAAAGGTTAGCTATTGAGTAGGACAGGTGTAAGCAACCTTTTCCAGTTGTGGGTTGGAATGACCCCCTCAGGGTGGTGATGGAAAGCAGGTACAAGGACCCTGCCACTGTCTCCAGCATGGAGACAGCACCTGCTGCAAAATGCCGCCAAAGCCCCCCCAAGTCCACAGGCCAGAGCCAAACTGGCCTGTGGGTTGCCGACCTCTGGAGTAGGAGACTGTAGTTGGAAGCAATTATAAGAGAGCGTTAAAAGTTGGCTCTTTGCTTCAGTGAGGCATTTTAAAAGTCTCTCTCTTTATGAGTCTTTTAAGAGCTTTTAAAATGCCTCTGAGTCAGATCAGAGCTTCTGCCTATAGATGTACACTGCAAGAAGACAATATAATTCTGATGCAACTAGATATGGGAGCCTTTGCCTTGAAGACTGCTGTGGGAACTTTGCAGGTGGCTGTGTCCCTCTAATGAGTGGTAGCTACTCACCCAGTGCATTAAGGAACGGGATGGAGAGTCACTGAGAATGTACTGAAGACTAGAAACGCTTTTATATGCTTTTAACTGGATTGTGGGACTCCGTCTTTGTCACTTCATCTCAAAAACAGAAGTGACTGGGTTAGAGCTGGTTCAGAAACAGGTACCGAGAACCATGAAGGAGCATGGAACTATCTTCTATACAGAGCTTGAAAAGGACAGGTCTGATTATCTTGTCCACAGGGGATGAGTATAATGAGAGGAGAAAGGTGAGCAGTGCCCAGAATAATGAATGGTGAGGGAAAGGTGGAGCTGGAGCTTCTGTTCACCCACTCATAATGCAAGGCACCTCTGCCAACTCAAAGATTTCACATTTAAAATGCCACACACATTTCTGCTGCAGCACTCCTTGCTTGAGATCCAGCCCCCTTTCTGAGACCCTGAGTTCAGCGGGATCCACGTGTGACTGGACATTAAGCTGCATGATGAGTTGAGGCACAAGAGTCAAGACTGAAAACAAAGGAAACCCCAAACCCAACAGTTATTGCAGCAAGGCTGAGATGCCAAGCATCAGTCAGCCTCCAATTCATGGGAAAGAGGAAAAATACCTTCCCTTGGCTGTCTCGGGAGCCTGGCACCTTCCTCTGAAGCATCTGATGCTTGATACTGCACAAGGCAGGAGCCTGGACCATGAGGCTGATGCAACATGCCCACGGGTGTCACCAGTGCAGGCCACAGGGTGGGGAAAGGAGCCTGCCAAGGCAGGGCCCGGCACCCTGTCAGCACTGTACCTGGACTCCTGGTGACCCTGGACGAATTTTCAGATCACTTTGCTTTTATACGGTGATCATTCTCTCATCTTCCTGCCTGCATTTTGTCTGTTTATTATCATTTCTGTATATAAGGGGAATTGAGTTCTCAGTGAAGCACCCATGCCCCCCTTTGCTAGAGATCACAATAATAACAACCATCATTATTTTCACCATTTTCGGGCCCCCTTTCTGTCCGGACCTGGGACAGCCGCCTGACTCACCCAGGACCCCTTTCCCACACGTTTGCGCTCACCTGGTGAGGTCCAGGAAGGAGTCCACAGTCTCCTTGCTGGTGGCCACAGTGCCCTCCAGCCCCAGGGCGTTGGTGTTGAGGGACGCGGCACCCGCCCCAGGGCGGATGATGAAGGCCAGGGCCACAGCCAGCCCTGAGGCCAGCAGGGTGGTGCCCAAGAAGTAGGTGATGGCGATGCCGCCCAGCTTGCCCAGCGCCCGGGTGTCCAGGCTGGCGGCGCCAGACACGAGGCTGCACACCACCAGGGGAAGGATGATCATCTTGAGCATGCGGAGCAGCATCTCGCCTGGGAAGGCCAGATAGGCCACCTGCGGCCGGGACAACTGCAGGCGCCGCACGGCCGCGCCCAGCGCCACGCCGCCCAGCACGCCGGCCACGGTCAGCAGCACCAGGCAGTTCCTGAGCGCCCAGCGCCCGAAGCCCCGCAGCCGCGCGCCCAG